TATTAACTCCAGACGTTCCTTCAAAGCAAACGGTATTCACGTATGTGTTTAAATATATTCATGTTTTGTGTAAATATGTGCCAAGTTTGCATACAAGGCTAGTCAATGACAAGACTTTTGGAGTACTCAAATATTTCCCAAAATACCTGTATATATATAACTTATATATATCCCCCCCCCCAAGAAAATGTTGCTGTGTGATAAAAAGATATAACATTGGCCATTTACAACATGTTGGGAGCTGCAGTGCACCCTGCTTATTTTTTTACTAATGTCTAACGCCAGACGATTTTACTCATCAATGGGGAAGCTCTGCAGCTTAATGGGTTTAACAATTTGGAACACCAGATACTGGATGGCAATTACTTTGTAACTACTATATGTTGCTTCCCTTGCACTGGGAAGGTACCTTGTATCCTGGCCACTTTTGATTATTATACTATTAACCCATTAAGCTGCAGAGCTTCCCCATTGACAAGTAAAATCATCCGGCGTTAAAAGTTAAAAAAATAAGTAGGGCGCACTGCAGCTCAATGTGTTAACTAGAGGCATTGTCAGATTTTTTGGTTAACCCATTAAGCTGCAGAGCTTCCCCAATTGACAAGTAAAATCATCTGGTGTCAGACAAGTAAAAAAAAGTAGGGCACGCTGGGGCGGCGCATTGCAGCTCAATGGGTTAAGCCTGATAATTGCACCGATGGTTCTGGTGTCTCTGGTTTGGAGTTGAGTCGCATTGTTTTGTTTTTCCCATCATCATTTTTGTGCTCAAAGTTACAACATATAATATATTTTTGTTTATTCCAGAATTATCTCACAATTGGGATATCATAATCTGGCATTTGTCCTGACTCACTCTGGTTTCCTAGTTAACCCATAGAGTGGCTCTCCCATTGACAAGTAAAAGTAGGGCAAGCAAAATACAGTACAAGCAAGATGTATGGAAATTGAAGACACAAAAGCTGGATTCATTTTGAACATTTTAATTGGACTTTTCAATACAGTAAAATTATTAACAGTGAATAATTTTAAATTAACACTAAAATTATTGTAATTAAGTATACATGATGTAGTGGAGTATGTCTTAACTTAATTCGGGGGTGGATTAATAGGGGGTGCTGACACCCCTGTTGGCCTTGGTCAACAGAGGTGCAATAAAATCAAATTCAGAAACATGGCATAATTTCCAAGGTTTTCCATTTTTTGAAGTCAAACTGAAGCTCATAATTCAATGTCCACATCACAGGAAATAGCATTTCTAGGGTTCTAATTTTCAAAATTTTCTGGGGGCATATCCCTCAACCCCCTAGGGAGCTCGCGCCTTTAGTGTTTGAGTCGTTTCACTCCCACCACCCCCTAAAAAAATATAAAGAAACACTTGGCTGCTCACCCAGCACACCCTAGAAAAACCTTGCTGGATCCACCCCTGAAGGCTTTCAAGTAATACTGTAATAGCAGGCAGCGCAGTACTTATCATATCATGCGAATAATTATCATATTTAATTGCACAGATCCCATATGTATAAACAAACACAAGCATGCAATGCATTGTAGTTGACAATGATTCTTTAATTGACTTAATAATAAAGGTTTATACTTTTATAAGTTAATTATCATCACCATCATAGACAGATTTTCAAATTTTGCTTGGGGAGTGTGGGTGTGCAGAAAAGTGAGCAAGGAGCACGTAGTGTGCTGAGTAAGATGCAGCAGAGTCTGAGGGTACAATCACTAGTAGGGACACAGTTGGGGTAAGGTTGGGGGCAACAACCCCAGGATATTTCGAGAATATTGGCCTTGTTTTTAGACGTCTATAGTTAATTCAAAATTCTTGTTCTATTATACTGCTGTCATTTAATCAAAGCAGCATTTAAATTTCTGTGGTGGAAAAACTTTCTGAGGTGGTGAAGATACTAAATTAATATTGGGGGTGCACCCCCCCCCCCCCCAGAAAATCCATCAATGATTGCCATCTGCATTTTAATGCCTTGTACATCCCATGTTTTGTGATATCTATAGCCAATAATTCCTGCAAGATAAAAGACAACAATCATATTACACCAATATTATTACACATTCTTCCACCTGAAAAACAGCATTTATTACCAAAAATTGTGGATGCATGCTTTCTTTTCATCCACAAAACTGCATATACACTTAATAAAGTTCCTTTTACATATAAGTACTGAAATGGTAAATCATTATCCACCAGTTTAATGATCATAATTTCTTTGCAACCAATTTCATGAAAGTCAAGACAATCACAGAGAAATTAAGATAACAATTTTTTCAAGAGAGAGGAAGGATCCACACTAATTAATAAAAATATTCTTGTTGTAGTTCTTTGTGTATTCCGCTCTGTTGTGGAAATACATGTACATGTATAGTTTGAACATTGAGTCATATTCATAGTCATGTCTGGAGGGGATGATTAGAATCTATACTCCTGAGAAAAGCAAAATACACTATAAATAGGACAGCAGCTTGCAACTTCACATTTCTTGTGTAGGGATGATGTGGATGTTTTCAGATAATTTTCAAAATCTTCTGGGTGAGTGTGCCCCCAGAACCGCTAATAGGCTCATGCCTTCGGCAGCTCCCTCCAATTTCTTAATGATGCCATTGATTGTTCCCCCACTTCTGTTTTACTGGCTTTGCCACTGATCACAATATTAAATTTAACAGTTTCTGGAGTCTCTTAATACTTGTCACTTGATTATATGACAAAATCTGATCAGTCAATTTATTGTATATCTGGGCCATTACCACTAACAGTCGTTAACAGTACACTACTATATGTTGATGTCATAACAAGTGAATCCACTGTAGTGGCCCTGGCTATTTTGACCCCCTCTCTGGCCTTGCATGTGCTAATCCTGGTCTATATTTTAAGTGTATTTAAATGATTTTCATACCATAATCTGTGTAAGAGACACATTGCCAGGGATAAAACAAAACAGTAAATCTTATGACCACAAATTTTACAAGGTTTTTTATGTCCAATATTGAAATATTTGCAGTTCATTAGACATGATGAGTGAAGTCAAGTGAACAAGTGTTAAATTTTGAGAAAATATTTTTATAATTTCGTTCTATCCGTCCCATAAATCTTACTTGTAAAAAGAATTACTCGTTCTTTATGTAAAATAAATTGTTGCATCAGCAAGCGGAGCAAAACGGCACTTTAATTCCTTCCAAGTTGTAAAAAAAACCCAGCAAAATACGAGCTCGAGAAAATATTATGTTTTTAACTAAAAACTCTGCCAAAACCAGGGGGGTGAAAACGTCGTCTGAAGCTCAGGATCGCGGTTGGTCAGTGGCAATTCTGTGAGAATTACGGACCAGTTGTCATGGAAATGGCGTCAGCAAACGTCAAAATCCGCCATTTTTTTGGCTTCACTTTGATCACTGAACGAAGTATAGGAGCAGGTCCTCCAGTTATTATACAGCTCAGTGACTTATCCTTGCCATAAGACAACGTCGCCATAGTAACCACAACAAACTCGTTACCAGTTCATTGCATCACACATCGATCGGCGCGCCTATAGCCGTTTCACCGCCCTATATATAAGCGCCCTGATGTAAACAAGTGACGCGCGTGTATACTCGCAAAAATATTCATAAATATAAGGAGGGAGAATGTAAAATTTCAGCAATTTTAAGAAATATATTTTATTAAGATCTCCGTTGCTTTTCCTATACAATTTCATAGAGACAATGACATCGTGAAATGAGAGAATAAGGATTTGTAAACAACAGCTCATTCAGGGCGACAATTACGATTTAAAAAAATAATATATAGCGGCACTTGCAGTACACAAATCTTAGGCATGTTCCAATGAAGGCGAGCTACCTTTCCAAGGGAAGCTTCACATATCGATTTTGTCAACGAGAAACGTCATATGTTCGTTCGGGTTTGCAGCTGTGACGTTTCTCTGTAAGGGATCATGAAAAATTTGATAATTTTTTCGAAAGCCTTAACATTTCGTTATCATTTTTGTAGAAGATAAAAAAGAAAACAACTTGATACAAACACCAGTTTATACATTCGTAATGCCATATCAGTTCTATACATTTATAATATTGCGCCTTCCTTGCATTGAAAACACTCAAGTTTCAAGAAAAACGCACTAAAATTGTCAATATTTCAGGTAAAAAATTGTTTTGAGAAACGTTGGAAATTTTGAAGTTCATATATTAATAAAAACATACGCCAGTAGATAACATATTCCTCGAGGAAGCATCGCCAATAGCCGGCCGTAGGAAATAGTAGAAAATTGCCATATGCATGTGTACTGTAAGAACAAAATATCGATAACTATGTGTGACGTTTCTAAGCTAGGGAGGGGGATGGAGTGCCGGATGGTCTCCTGAGAAACGTTCATATGAGTTTCTTATGGACAAAATCGCTATATATGAGGGTTCTCTAAAGATATATTTCTTCTCCAAAGCAAGGGACTTGAATACAAGAGCGTGACTTCAATACTAGAGCGTGACTTCATAGTGAATTATTTTGTTAGAAAATGGTTTTACTAGCTAGAACTTCATTCTTGATCAGTCTGAGAATATCCAAATAGTACATAAATAGTACCGTTGTTGATTGTATTATATAGTTGCCGTTGGTAATTAGTGGAAATATTTGTATCTGTTATCCATTTATAATATAGCGGTATTACTGGTCTTCTTGGCAAGTTGAAAACTATAAAACGAGTTTACATAATATTCTAGTCCTAGATCTTGTCGTTGCCGATTAAGTCAGTTAGAAAGGTAATGCCCATAGTACGATTTGAGATTAGCAACCAATGAATTAAATTGCACGAAAAGCACTATTCACCCTCCGAGTATATGCAATATCTCAACCAGGAAAATCTGTTTTGGTGATGTTTTCAAACACTTTAATCCTATCACTTTTAATATGAACTCCACTAATCGCAAACAAAGCTCGATCAGTATGCAAGCGCAATATATCGCTGAAAACACTGATTGAAATAGTATATTTATTACTCAGTGTAAAGAAAGGTTAACATGGAATGATTAGTAAATAGAATCATTCAGCCTTTTTATAAGTTACATTCTAAAATTACTTTAAAAATCTACCTATTAAAGTCTGCTCGCTTATTTTCGAAACTGAAATTGCACGCATTTGTCTAATGTGTAAAATCAAGATATGCTGTATACACTCTTCAAACTTGTTCTTGAAGCCTCTTCCTATAAAAAATGAAGTCAATTAAATCTTCTTGACAGTCTTACTACACTTTGCTTATACGGCCTGATATGAGCCCGGCATACGTGCACGAGGTGGGGGCCAGCACGGAGATGGGGGCGAGCACGAAGGTGGGGCCAACACGGAGTGGGGAGTGGGGGGGGGGAACAGTTTATTACAACAAAAATATGTCGAAGACGCCATGTTTACATCATTCTGTTCCACCGAAGCGGAGTATTATAGGTGCATGGGATAAATATAATTAATATGAAAACAGATAAAATTGATTCCGCTCGCGTTAGTTATCCTGCAAATCGCGCACTCATATATATGATTAAAGGCGTTTTAGCTTGCATGGCTATAGCAATAGACAATTAATATACATTGGCCATGAGACATGTCAGTCAGGTCGAGATATATAACTATAATTTAAATAGAATCAAATTGTCCGCCTAGAGATCAAGCTACTGCTTGAGGTGCGTGCACTGGGGAAATTTGGCGAGTACAGCTATTAAAATAACCAGGTGCATGCAAATAAGTTTACAGTTAACCCTTGTGCGCGGCTCAATACTCGTGCAAAATAAAATCGTTTGTACTGAAGTTCAGTTACTAAAGAAGCGAAGGGCTAATTGCGACTACAAATTAATCCGTCGAGGTATGCCAACGGATTGCATTGTCTAAATATTAATACAGGGTACATAAAAAAATAAGACTTTATAGAAACGGTCCTATTGTTATAATTTCAATGCCTAAACCGTGCTACTAGTCGGATGCGTAAAATATTGACCCCTACGTGCATACGTTGATAATATCTTTGTTACAAGCGATCAGTACTTTGTGTTGAGAGAAATGGGGGCCTCATCGAACGACACCGCGGTGCTTGATATTTTCGGATAGTTTTATTTCATGCCTGTAAAAAGGCTTATATAAGCGCCGCGTTAAATTAATGAGCAAGTAACTATATTTATCGTTCATATTATGTTCAACTTGACATGTTGGATGAAATAGAAGTACTATTTAAATAATGTCATGCATAAAATTCAATGAAATTATGCGTGTCTAGGCACCCGTGGCTTAGCGTAGTGTTCATTCACTGAAATTATATAGAGTATCGATAATACATGGATGCGCAGAAATACCAGATCATTTCGAGTGTTGAACAACTGCAGATATCTCAAGAGTGAGCGCACGCAGCGAACGAGTGAGATATCATGTGCAACACGAGAAATAAATCTGGTATTTCGAAGCATGCATGTATTTTTCTGTATATTACATAAAGGACAATCTTTGAAAAGCGATAATTTTTACATAAAAGCGATAATTGAAAAGCGATAATTTTCACATTATCATAAAAATTCTGACATGTGAGATGATCAGTTTTATCAGTGCTCGAAATCTCCATAAAGCACATTCTGCAATATTTTATATAATAAAACAATTATATATCTAATATCTAAAGGTCGTCTTTTTCTGATACGCCCTGTATAATTCAAAAATTAGATGTAATTAAAATTTGCAGCATGAAAGCACAAAAGAAATATATTTTGCGTAATTAAAATAAATCGTTCCAATTTTTATGCCGTACGGCCGGTACCGTATCTTAAATACAGCTTTTGTATTTTTCAAATTAGCGTTAGATTCCAATTAAAAGAAAATCTGAGAAACTTAATTAATTTGATAATTTATCGAAAAACCGGTAGATGCGATTTCAAATTTGAAATCTCGCTCGAGACAACTCGATTTTCGTTTTACTCTCCAGTTGCAGAACAATGAAACTACAGTACTTGTTCACTATATCACCAAATTAAGATGGTCCTGAAATAATTACATTTCAATTACTTCAGATTATAATTAATTATTTTAAATTATGATTAAAAATTAATTTGTATATATACTTACATGCTCTTGGTTTTCTAAGTACATTCACACAGATTGGCTGTTTGATTGAAATGTGGTTGACCATTGTTACACTCTGTACAGTTAAACACAAAATATGTAAGAGAGATGACTGTTAAGGTTACTTCACACGATGACCGTGCGTTTTGTCTATTGGACATTGCTCAACGACTTTTAGGTGTAACTTTACCAAATTTTCAGTGAGGAAAGCCAGGAAAATGCTGATTTCGACAATTTTTATTTGATGGGTGTTCTGTTTAAATATTTTCAGTATTGGCTGACTGAGTAAATATGTAGGTACATTCATAAACAAATCAAAATATGTTTATAGTTTGCCTCAACGGTTGTCTAGATATCGCAATTCAAATCTTCATAGGCGTGTGCGGAAATTTCACGTGTGCGGAAAATTTCTCTTCTTTAGTGGTTTTTCTGATATGTCCCGATTCTTGGATTTGTCACTGATAATTCACGAAGTTGTCAAAGAAAATGTCATATCAGAAAAACCATTGAAGAAGAGAAATTTTCCGCACACGTTTTTTTACCGTACCTATGAAGATTCAAATCGATATATGTAGACAAACGTTGAGGTAAACTATAAACATATTTTTATTTTTTTATGGGATACTTATGTATTTCTTTAGTCAGCCAATACTGGACATGTTTAAACAGAACACCCATCAAATGACGATTTTCGAAATCAGAATTTTATTGGCTTTCTTCACTAAAAATTTGGTAAAGATACACCTAGAATTCGTTGCGCCATGTTCAATAGACTAAAACGCACGTTCATCATGTGAAGTAACCTTAAGAAGAATACAGCATTTCTGGATTATATCTTTGGGCAAGAAGCCTTAATTGGGCAGCCCTGGGCTAAAGTGAAGAAAGTTTCCTTGTCCTGTGGATTCTCGGTTGCATATACAATTAAGCGGTGGATTTGCATGAGGAGTAAAAGTCTTTTAATTGATTTGTACAGATACAGTATCTGTTTCTGCTGAAATATAGCGCGGGCACCTGCAAATACTTAGAATTATCCGCAAGCATTTAGCCAACGAGAGAACGAGAACATGATGAATAATAATACTTCCGACTAGGTTTTTCCTACTGGAAAAATTTAGTATTTTTTACGATAACTTGTAAGAATAAAGGAAGCGCACCTTTCCATTGGCAAAGCGACATGCCAGGAATTTGTTGACATGAAGGACGAACTTCATTGACTGCTGACAAAAACGCATTTCTTTGAATAGAAACTATACCATTGACGTTATCGCAATAGAGTCGAGACAGGCTGGTTTTCTTTATCTCCAGTACCTGGCTTGAACTAAAAACGCCCGAGTTCTCATAGAAGAAGCGATCACCATCTCTTGACCGCTGGAATTGCTCTCGTATAACACATCGTAATGTAGGACCAACGGTTGCCCCAGGGAACGGAACCTCAGCGAGACCTGCCATCCACAATTCAACCAAATTTGGATCATCATTATACAGGTTCATCAGGATAGCTCTGTTATTCGGGTCTCGGATCTCGTTTCTGGTATCTTCAAAGGTACTTGCGTTAGAAATACCGCAGTACACTCGGAATTCGTTGTAACCAGGAAGACCATGGTCACGTGATCGTTGCAAATTTAACGCAGCCAGATTTTCTCCGTGCTGATTTCCACGTTCGAATAAATGTTCTGTGATCTCCCTTGACAATACTGTGTCCACCTTTTCAGATACATTTCCAATAAGACCAAATAATACTGGCTCTACACCCATTGTTTTTGTAACAGTATTATTGAAGAACATAGAACGAAGCTTCATGGCAGGGGCGACTTCTTCGTAATTTGCGTTCAAAAGATCAAATTTAGAACGGATCGTACTGTGTCCAAATCTGTAAGCAGCAGCTGCAAAAGCATTCGATATACTGGGATCAATGTTTTCATTGTGTCCTGCGTATGAAGGTAGAGCATTTGGACCTAGGATAATCGGCAAATAGTCCTCATAGACAAGTTTTTGTAGAATAGCTCCAACAATTTTTCTTGTTTCTTGGAAAACAGTTTCGCCGTTCCAATGAGCATTCAATTGTTTCAAGATCCTAGCAATACGATTGTGTTCTCGAAGGAAGAGGGTGTGGAATGATGTCAGTCCTTGTTGTTCATTTGCGCGGATATCTCCAGCCTTAAAACAACCTTGAATACATGTTGTTGTGTCGGGATCCTCTGGTAGCAAATCTTCCCCATTCGTTTGGGACACACGCATTAGCCCTACGTCATCTGAAAATAATGTCAGGGTTTTAGTAAACGCTTAGCTACTGACTAAGACAGTGCATTTTCTAAGGATTCTTCAGTGGTGGGGCAAAACTGCCAAGGGGTCCATTTTCCTTGCCCTTCCTCCAAAATAGTATGCGATCACCGAAGGTGTAAGGCAAGTGCCGCAGGAACGAGTCTGGGGGCATGGCCCCCACAGGAAATTTTTAAAATTTGGGTCTCTGAAATAGCATTTCCTGCAGTCTGAGAAAACATTTTTAAAAAAATCTCAGCTTCTCAAAACAAAGTTTTAATGTTGAAATTTGTAATAAATTGCACGCTAAACATTCAAACACAACATAAGTTTAAGTATGCTCACCAACAAATTTTGTTTTTTAAACTTCTTTTCAATGTTAAACTCATTTACTCAATACAGGTCCTAGGGCGCTGCTTTGGGGCAATAGGCCATTTTTTTCCCGTCACTGGTGGGACAAAGGAAGGGGCCCAGTGGGGCAAATGACCCACCAGCCCATGGTATTAAAAAATGCCTTGGACTAAGATGTTTTTCCGAAAACATTAAATGAGAATTTTAATGTATTTATTGCTTCGGTTTGCCAAGGAGCTCCCAACATAATACAGTTTGAGAAAATACGGCATAAATTCGCCCTAGGGTATGTGGAACGATTTGTTGTGAAAATTTTGAGGTAAGTGAAAGCTTTACTGTCTTCCCTAACTACATACTTTGCAAGACCCGAAGACTTCGCGTGGTGTTTTCTGATGACCCATAAACATTATTTCCATCGATAACTCCTGTTATGTCATTTATCTGCTCTCTCTCCATAGGGAACCCTTGCAACTGACACATTGCAGCAGACCTTACAAATCGTATACATGGAGGTTCATTGTTTGCCAGGGGCAAAATGGGATAACATGGAGGTTGAAAGTCATCTGGTGATCCATCACACCTGAAACGAGATAAAATTTTAAAAAATAGCGAACATTTTATTTTCTTGGGTCATTAATGATGCTAAATTTAACAGCATTATGAAGTTAATTAAAGAGTTTAAAAATAGTTTGCACCGGATTTTGTACATTAAAATGTCGAACGATCTGCGCCAGCGTATAGGTAATGAGAAAAACACCAGAAAATTGAGAAGGATATAGATATATTTCAATTACCTAAAAAATAAAAGTAAAACGTTGACGTTTTGGAACGTCGAAGTTTTACTTGTATTTTAGTTGAATGCTATTTCCATCACAAATTTCTGGTACTTTAAAAGGTGCATCTTATAAATATTGAGGTGCCTTATACAGCCGTATTTTTTCGTTTCGGCTCTGATTTGCAATTGAGCTCGATCCTATCCAAATAGAATGAAATATCAATATATTTCATGGGCGTCACGTTTTTAGAAGTTTACATTCAAACACAATCTTAATGTTTGGGTACACAAATAATCAACGTTCATTCTGAATGGAATCCCGTCTGTAAGTTATATAACTTGCTTGAAGTAACTCTCGATCTGTGTAGTAATTTCATGATACTCGATCAGGTGGAAGAACGCAGACGTCAAGTTATCTACCGATGCTAAATTAAAGCTGGTGAATGAAAGAACCAATGAACCGAATGATGAATCAACTAAAAACCGACGTGAATCAGTTAATCAACTAATAAATATATCAAAAAGCCAATCGAAGAAATACCTTATTGAAAGGCAAGCCGTGCTTCCCTCTCCACCCGCTGACAGATCTAAATCATGATCAAGAAACTGACCAAACTGCATCACAGCAGGTGTGAGATTTCGGGCTGCTGAATCCGAAGAGGCTATTTCATCTCTAATAAGATCTCTGCTAACTATGAATGGCGAGGGTATTGATGGTGCATTTGGTTGGTTAGGATAGCCAATTGGATCATTCAGGCCATCTACATCATAGTATTTCTGCAATGGTAAAGAGAATGGTATTTAATGAATAAAATTTATAGATTAGTATTAGATTTTTAAGGTATATGAATACGAACTTTGGAGGTATGAAAATCAGTTATATAAAATAAGACATTCCTCCTCCCCTTCCCCCGAATTTAAATGTTGTGTCGCCGGTACGTATAAGATGTTATTCACTTATTGGCGTATTAGAACTTCCGAGCCGCTTCGAACATGTTAATTGGCAAGTTTCATTTAGCGTATCTTAGGTAGTCAAATAGTTTTAAAATTCCAATAGATTTGAAATCGAATTCTGTCTTTGCTTTGACGTGCTTTCAGCTTAATTTCAGTGCCATTGGTAATTAAATTATCTTTGTTTTATAGCAACATAAAATTTTAATAGACAACACATTTATTCTTCTACACAATGGTACAAGGGTTTGGTAAATGGAATTTTATACAAATTTATTAGACTTAACCAGGAACTGCTGGGAAAAATGCAACTATACAGTACCTCCCCTGGAAGGGATCGACTCTGGTTCAGCGCTCTAACTAACTGAGCTACAGAGTCCAGTTGTCGACCTCTAACCACAAGTTCATGTAAATCTACTATACGTACTGCAATACGGAATGTATTTCGGTATATATTATAAGTTGATTATATAATTAAAAGTACTAATTTTTAAATTATTTTCAACATTTTGCAAAAAAATAATATTATGATGTTACTATGGCTACCACTTGACGCTTAGATTGGTTATTGGTTATTTGAATCATATACTTCATGTCGAAACAATGTTTGGGAAATATAATATGATTAGAAGGGCGAGGAGTTGCTACATGCATGCACAGTATTCAATAAATTTTGGTGAAATTAAGAAAATTTTCTGATACTGAGTCAAAGCATCAATTAAGATTAATCAATTAAGGAGAATTAATACCTTTCGAGAGAAGACCCTTCTCTTTGTACTTTTGAGGTAGTTATACATCCTTATCCACCGAATTTTTGTTATTATTGACGCTATACCTACACTGTCAAAGTCCTTTCATTTAACACCAAATACTACCCATAAGGTCTACAAAACTGACAATAATCACATGTTGTCGAAGAATCAAAGAAATACGTCATATTTGCTTACCGCTGACAACAGTCGAATGTATGGCGTTCCAGCGGCTCCAGCCAGAGGGAAGTTGAGGTTACTACACCTTCCATCACTGCGGCGATATTTAGCATTCTGAGGACAAACAATGTGATTAACTGTTTCATGGCAATCTGACTCTCTGTCCAGCTTACTTATTATTGCTGTAGAAAAGAGTTGTTGATTATGGAAAAATCCTAGGACTGCTCCTCTACCGTAATCGTTTTCTGTAAGCATACAAAATGTTAAAAATGTTAATATTATTGATAAAAATTAAACTCAAACTCATTAATAATTCATGATTTAATTGGCCAACTATATATTCGTTATCTTACTCAGATGATAATACTGGATACCCGGTGAAGTATATTGATCCAGTCTTATGACTGGATCAAAATTAATTCATTCCTTCGACTGGATCAAAATTAATGAAGTGGTGATTTGTTCGTATGCATATGCATTTCAAATCCTCAAATTCGGTCTGGACTAGATCTCAAGTCCTCGCAGTTTGATCCAATTGCGCGGACGTGAAATCTAGTCCTGTTTTCATAGTCGGATTTGAAATATTACATGAAAAATATATCTCAAACTCATTGATAATTCGCGAGTAAATTAGCGAAGCATATTGTTTTATTTTGTTCACATGATAATGCGGGATACCTGGGAATATATATTGATTTAGTGCAAGGACTGAAATCAAAATTAGTGGATCAAAATTAATTCACCTCACTTTAAGTAGTGATTAATTCGTATGAGATGTCATTTCAAATCCGACTATGAGAACCGGATTAGATTTCAAGTCCTCGCATTTAATTCAAATCTTGAATTTCAATATGGCATTATTCTTCAGGTGATGACTACGAAATGATGTACAATTTCCACATTGCTTCGCAAACAAATTATTGGAATATGAATGGCTTTCATTGTACAATAGTGTACATAGAGTTAATTAAGTGAACGTAGTTTCTTTTTAATGTGTATGAAAAAAGGTACTCAAACTTATTTAATATTATTTCATTTATGGTGATCAAATTTGGATTTTTGTGCAAATATTGAGAATAAAATGTATTTTGTTGATATAAAAATAATAATGAATGCCAAACCTTCGATTACCGCTGGTAAAAATCGATCTATCAAGATCTTAATCTTGCATACAAAATTATTTGAGAGTTGTGTGCCGTGTGCATGGACTGTCAAATTTATCCTGCTTGAGACGTTTTTCAATGTATATAATAGGCAATTCCAGCTTTTAGTTCATGCGTGCGGGGGAGGGGGGGGGATCATAGGTATCATATTTCAGATTATGCTGAAAAACTAAAAATGGTGGCCGTGTAAACACGGAGTGACAGCTTATACTTGTAAATATTGAAATATTTTGGTTGTTTCCGCAGTTTTTATCTAATTTTTCAGCATAATCAGCAGTATGATACTTCACTTTCCGTCACCCCCTGCGCGCATAATTTAAAAGCTGGAATTGCCTATACCCCTGGCACTCCAAATTATTTATTAGTTAACAAGTACCTACCAAATGCATGTATGATAATTGACTTGACGAGATCTATCGCTTGTTCCACTCTCGTTTGAGCTTCAGAAAGCTGGGAAGCTGGATCATCTGGTGACACTTGTTTCAAAGATCGATCTAACAGTTCTGGTGAGATCTCAGCTGCAGGTCCATAGTTGAGGGTTATAGATTGACTGGCTTCCAGGCCCTTTTTAACTGCAGTCATAGCAGGTAGCGCAAGCGGATCACCATGGTGGAGCGGCAAGAGATAAATAACGACTCCTACAGTTCTCACTTCGGATCCTAATTTTGCCTGGATCTCAAATCTCGAGTTGTTCACTTCACTCCGATGTTGTTGATCAGCATTGACCAATAATGTGAGTTGCCCAGTGTTTGAATCGATTTCTACAATACTAGATGCAGTGGCTAAACTGTACTTTACACCAGCAACTGGATTCCCCACTGCAATTTTACCAATTCCTCCCTTTGGGAAGTTGTCGGTAAGAAGAATAGCGTAATTTTCTTCTGGGAATTCCAAACCTAGAAAATGATTTAACATTGCGATTAATGTAGAGTTTTACTAGTAAAGCCTCGTGGTCAAACCAGGATGAGAGTTGATGAAAGCTGGAACTCTCGACCGCCAACTCTCGTCGACTCATATGATTTCTCATCAACTTTGGACTGGTTAAGATTTTGATAAGAGTTGATAAGAGGTTTCACTACGCCTGGTACTGTATTTCCAGCAGGGACGAAACTAGCCCCTTTTAATTAGGGGTGTGTCTGGCAGAATTTCCCTGCTTAAAACCAATCATGCCCTGCAGACTGCAGCGCTAATACAATACATCACTAAAGGTACGTGTATAATTGAACTGCCGATGCCAATGTACATGCACACGAAATGCTTATTGCTTATTAAGTTTGTAACTCCTAGCGTTTCGTTAGTGATATTAGACGCATGTGCTAGGATTGTTCATTCGTTCATAAATACTGACAAGCAAGACGAGACATCCAGGATTAAAGAATAGTCGTAAGTCGTTAACGCAAGTTGAATCTAACCTTTAATATCCTTCTACATACGTCTAAACTTGACGTCTAAACTTGACGTCTAAACTTGACGTAAAACGAATGTTTTAACAATAATATCACTAAGATAAGTCCTTCGTGTAAACTACAGTTCGCAAAAGTTCGCATAAGTTCAAGTTGGTATATTAAAACGTATTGTTTTTTTGTGGGGCCTGAGCACTAATATGCCCTTATACGGTTCGCAGTTACATGGCTCCCCTAAATTGTCTATTACGATAATTTACCACTAACATAACTGAATATAATAACAACGACGATAATGTTCAATAGTTCACAGTTGGCTCCTTGTCGGGGAATCTTCACTCTTCAACGTTCTCCGTGTCTTCGACTTTAAGAAGTACAACTAGCTTCTGAATAGGACGTTCCAAAATGGTCGCAACTCGACTTCGTTTTCCGCGTTCGTTCAACAGAGGATCTGCCACAATAAGCTTGACCTTTCGCACCAAACCATCTTCGTCCGTGTAAACTTCGTCAACGCGAGCCTTTCGCCAAAGGTTTCGAGGCGCGTTATCATCCTTGATGAGAACGATGTCGCCTACACGCAAGTTTCTACGAGGGTTGCTCCACTTCTGCCTTCCTTGCAAAGTGTTGAGAAACTCCTTACGCCAACGCGACCAAAACTGGTTGACAAGGTACTGGACTCGTCGCCATCTTTTCACTAGATATTTGTCTGTTCGCTGGAACTCGCCGGGTGGTGGGAGTAGTATTCGCGATTTCATTGTCAGGAGGTGGTTTGGGGTTAAGGGTTCCGCGTCGGTAGGAGAGCCAAGATTAGTCACGGTTAGGGGACGGCTATTTACAATAGCCTCTGTCTCGCACATGAATGTTTGCAGTGACTCTTCATCCAACTGAGTTCCCGCTTCGAGGAGGAGGGCATTCAGAACGTTGCGCGCCGTTCTTATCTGCCGTTCCCATACACCACCCATGTGACTGCTGGAGGGCACGTTCATTAGAAATTCGAACCAGTCGCATTCTTTTTCCAGTAGGAATGATCGCACCTTCTCTTTATCCATCTCTTGCAAGGCTTCTTTCAATTCGCGTCGAGCACCTGCTAGGTTTGTACCCTGGTCTGATCTGAGCTGACGAATGGGTCCGCGTCGAGCCAGGAAACGACGCAGAGCGTTGATAAAGGAATCCGTCTCTAACGACTTCGCCGTCTCGAGATGAATCGCCCGAGATGATAGGCAAGTAAACAAAACGCCGTACCGCTTTAGCTCTTTCCGACCTTCTTTAATATGCCACGGGCCAAAGTAATCAACGGCGCAGAAGGTGAACGGTGGCGCAGGTTGCAATCGATCGTAGGGAAGTTCGGCCATTTTCTGCTCGGATACGGTACCACGAAGCTTCCGACACGTGACGCATTTGGCGATATGATGGGCCACTGCAGAAGTTGCACCAATGATCCAAATCCCGTCCTCGCGAATCTCGTTCAGGGTGATTCCACGGCCTTGGTGTTTGACTCGTTGATGGTAATGTTGGATTATGAGGGATGTAATGTGTCCCTTTCTCGGTAGGATTACGGGGTGTTTCACGTGAAAGGGGACATCGGCGCGTTTGATTCGTCCGCCAACTCTTACGAGTCCCTCTTTGTCGATAAATGGATCTAGTCGATATAATGCGCTGTTTCTCTTTAAGCTTGCTTTACGATCCTTGACGTCTTCTCTTTTCGTGGGGTTGGATTTCAAACGACGCAGGAGTTCCATCTCTACGGGAAACATTTCCGTTTGAATCGCCTTCATAATTTCTACTTCCGCTTGTCGCAACTGTTCCACGTTTACCGGCTGATACAAATTGGTGCGTGTCTCGGATTTAACTTGTTCTCGATCTGTCGTACAACTTCTCAGACGCTTTCGGAGCTTCAGGCAAACTGCGATGGCTCTTTTCGCCCGGTGCCAATCGGAGAAGTATTCAAGTCTCTGGAGAATCGTTGACACGTTTTCGGTCGTTCCTTGCGTGGCGAGTGATTTTACTTTCTTAACTTCGGGATCGTCTTCCGAGAGGGGCGGACTTTCGGTGGTGGATGTGTTGATCTCGGGATTCCATAGAAACGCTGGTCCGGATAGCCACCGAGGGTTGGATATCAGCTCTTGGGCACTTAATCCACGTGACGCCTCGTCTGCTGGGTTCTCCTTACTCTCTATGTATCGCCACTGGTTTGGGTTAGTGCACTCTCGAATTTGTTGTACCCTATTCGCCACGAATGTGTGGAAGCGTTTGGCATCGTTATTTATATAGCCAAGCACTACTTTGCTGTCCGTCCAGAATATATCGACGATCCCTTCGTAATTGAGCTCTTGGTGAAGTAGGTTGCTTACCTTCACGGAAACTAACGCCGCCGTTAATTCCAGGCGAGGGATCGTGACGCTCTTCAACGGGGAAACTCGAGCCTTTCCCATGACGAACGAACAATGAATTTTGTCTTCCTCGTTAACTAATCGCAGGTACGAGCACTGACCGTATCCCGAGGTACTCGCGTCTGAGAAATGGTGAAGCTCGATGGACTTTAGCTCTCCGAATCCATCTGGTCGATAGCATCTTTGGACGCCCAGGTCGCTCAACAAGAGTAAGTCGTTACGCCATTTCTCCCATCGTAGTCGAATTTGCTCGGGAATTGGGTCATCCCAGTCGATTCCGTCGCGACATAACTCCTGTAGAAATTGCTTTCCTTGAAGTATAAGAGGGGCTACGAATCCTATCGGGTCGAAGATGGAACTTACAGTGGAAAGGATTCCGCGGCGGGTAGGAGGTTTGTTCTGCAGGCTCACTCTTAGCTGAAAGGAGTCGGACTCGATGCACCATTCTACGCCAAGTGCTCGTTCTATTGGCAGGTCGTCCTTGCGAAGGTGGAGATTCTTTATACCGGAGGCTCTATCGTTGGGCGGGATCTTCTCTATCACCGGCTTCGAGTTTGAAACGAACTTGTGGAGACGTAATCCACCACGGGCGCATAGGTCTTTGGTTTTCTTAATCAGCGAAACGGCTTCCGAGACTGAGTCGACTGACTTCAAGCCGTCATCAACATAGAAATCGTCTCGAACAAAGTTCGCTGCTTCTGTGCCGAATTCTTCTTCGTAGTCGTTGGCTATCTGCTTTAAGCCGTAGTTCGCACATCCTGGAGATGATCCGGCTCCAAATAGGTGGACCGTCATTCTAAATTCTACCGGGGGGTTGGTTGTATCTCCGTTTTCCCACCAAAGGAATCGCAGGAAGTCTTGGTGGGCCGCGATGACGTTGAACTGGTGAAACATTGATTCCACATCACACATAAACGCAATTGGACTTTGGCGAAATCTACACAGCACGCCGATCAGTTTGTTGGTGAGGTCAGGACCCTGTAGTAGGTGATCGTTTAGTGACTCGCCCTTATACTTGGCACTACAATCGAATACTACGCGCATCTTTGTGGGTTTCTTCGGGTGATACACCCCATGATGCGGAATGTACCATGTGCGTCCATCGTCCCTTGGAAGCTCCTTTTCAGGAACTCTTTCCGCGTATTTTTTCGATACTAAATCATTCATGAAGGCAACGTAGTCCTTACGATACTGTTCGTTATTCTCGAGCCGGGTTTTGAGTTTGGCTAGTCGATGTAATGCAAGAGACTTGTTGTTAGGCATACTCGGTTCTTCTTCGCGGAACGGTAAAGGCATTTCGTAGTGTCCGTCTTGTCTCTGACGAATTCCTTGCTCTACCTTGCGTATGAACTTCCTATCGTCTTGCGATATCGGCTGTTCGTTAGTTTTTCCTTCCGAGAAGTCGGATTCCAGGATCTGTCTCACCTGGACTGGATTTAGTATTTCCTTCGTAGTGGTCTTAACTGAGAAGAAGCACGTCTTCCG